GCAGGCGCCGCCGCCCGAGCAGGACACGGACTTGATGTCCAGAGAGAAGGAGCGCTTCAGCCGGTTGCTGTCCTCCACCTTCTCCAGGGAGACGTGCAGCCCGTTCATGCCCTGCACCAGCGGGGCATCCTCCAGAGGGGACGGGTGCCCGCGGGGGGCACCGCCGCAGTCTGAGGCCTTCTGCTCCGCCAGCTCGGAGGAGGCGGCGGCCGAGCACGGCTGGCTGGCAGAGAGGCTGCCCTGCCCACCTTCTGCCACCAGCACCTGCTCGCTGCTTTTTTCCAAGTGCAGAAGTTTCAGCTTACTGATGTGTCCGGGCTGACCGCCCTGGTTCTTGATCTTTTTCTCGAAGTCCAACAGCTGGCCCAGGAAGTTGAAGTTGGGAGAAATGGTCGGCCTTTTTTCTTTCACAAATCTGGAAAGAGGGGACAAACAAGCCAAGAATTAATTTAAAGGACCTGCTGTTCAGACCCGAGGTAACCCCAGAGCAATTGTGGATGTTAACAGCCTCATCTTAACTTGTCAGGATGCCTGGACTGAGGTTCAGTCAAGAGCAGGAAACATGAATTGAGAAAAACAAACCAAATGAAACAAAAACCAACCAATCACACACCTCCCTGAACCCCCCCAAACTGAGCCAAAAATCCCTACAGCTTTTGAGCAAGATGATGCTGAATGCTCTCGATTCTCCCTGTAACTAAAAGGTGGCTAAAAAAGGGAAAAGGAAGGAAGCATTCTTTTCACACTTCTTTGTGACACCTACAACAAGGTTTGAGGGAATAATTTTCTGTATTTTACTTCACCAGTGCAGTACGTGCTTCAAATTTGGCCTTCCTGAACCAGGACTCTACACATAGGAAAGACTCGGACATCAGAAGTGATGCCACATGCTTCAAAGTTCCACACAAGAGCATAATTCCTATCTGCCTGATTTGCAATATGGCTAAACCAGAACTCCCTGCCCTTTACAGGCTGTGAAAACCAGACGGCTGCCCCAATCCCTCCTCCTCATCTGGCTTTTTTGTTTCTTGTTTGGGTTTGTTTTTTTTTTTTACCTTTTTCTGTTTTCTAAAAACGTTGCTGGAACTCTGATGAAGCAAATGACAAGGGAATTAACAAGGGCAGAAACCTTGAAGAGCTAAATCTAGTACAAACACACATATAATGTATCACTGGGAAAATTAAATATTATTAAACCCAAAATCTCTCTGGGGCTGTGTACGGAAGGTGAGTGTGCAGTCATTAAAAGTGGCATGAGAAAAATTCAAAGGAGTACTTGTGTATACACGAGCACAAATTCAGGCAAGCACGTGAAAAATGCAAGTTTGGTTTGACAACTTTAAAAAAAAATAATTAAAAATATCAAACAACAAACAATAGCAGGAGTAGTCCAACTGCCATGACCTGGAGTATCAGCTGCATACAGTGGAAGCTTCCACCATGAAGTGCAACACTCAAATGGAGAAAACTAGCTAAGGCTGCTCAGGAGAGATTCTTTAGCTTGATCCCTTTTAATTTGGGGGCTTTTATTCCAGTGTAAGCAACTTGCTCACAACAATTCACAGGCTTGGTTCATTTTCTTTTTTTCCCCCAGTCAAAGCTAGTTGTTATTGGGTTAGTTATTTAAAGCAAGATCTCTCTGGTCAACATGGCAATTTCTGGCCTGTCTTCTGGTAGCCTCTCCAAAACTCTCTTCCTTCCACTTTCTCCTCATCTTACTCCAAAATACTGGGCAGCCCTGAATTTAAAAATAGCTTTTTAAAAAATGAAGAGGGTACAAGAAAATCTGCTGGATCCCCTGACAGTTCTTAAGGCTTTGCAAACTTAAATGCACCCTCTTTTTTCCAATTGCAAAATATGCATAACATTTACATTCTGATGTTTATTTCCCTTGTGTAGTCCATGGTGCAAAAGAAAACATTAAAAACATTTATGTCCTCAGATCTTTCACTTCAAGTAACAAAATCACCTTTTTATTGTGTAGTAATGTCAGACAAACATTTTATCTAATGACTTTCCTCAACTCAAAAGTATTTTTCTTTCAAGCTTTGCCAACAAGAGATCCCAAACCAAAGAGTGCAGTGTGCTGCAGATGGTTCCCACTAAGCCCTATCAAGGGAAAAATAGCAAAATATAATCTACATTTCACAGTGGTTGTTCAGTATCTGCAGTGCAAAGAGAAGGCAGCCTGGGATGATTAATCCTTCCCCCTCAATTCACACTTCTGGTTAAGACAAACTGGAATTTCATACAGAGATCTCACAGGGGAATTCAGCAGCAGCACTAGGAGTTCCCTGAAGCACCTGCATTTCAGAAGTGTTCAGTAGCTCTAACCTCCAAACCAACCACAGCCCAGACCAGGCAGGTAGTTTTTCAAATGCTCCATTTGTCACTGCACACATAGTTCCATTCATCAGCTTAAGGGAACGTGCCCCATGGAAATCATGCTCCACAAGGGACTATCAAATGTTCATCTTTCTGTCCCCAGCAGTGTTCTAGAGATGGTGGTGGCAAACACACAAGTGATTTGGAAGGGACTCCACTCCACCTGCCCCAGCATCAAAACTGCTTCTGCACAAGGCATGTCGGAGTGATGGGTCAGCTGTGCCAATGGGCTCATAGCCCATCAGAAGAAAGCCATCCCTTTCTGTGCAACACAACAAAGCAGTGCATTAAATGAAATACAGAAGCCATGGCAGACTGCAACCAAGCCACCTGGCAGGAAGTACAGTGTTCACAGTCCAAGCACAGATTAAAAATGGGATTTGAAAGGTTAAAAAGGGAGGGAGGGAAGGAGGCAGGGAGGTCTCCACAGAAATTCCCTAATGCCACTAAGAGCTGACAACAAAGCAGTGCATTAAATGAAATACAGAAGCCATGGCAGACTGCAACCAAGCCACCTGGCAGGTAGTACAGTGTTCACAGTCCAAGCACAGAGAAAAAATGGGATTTGAAAGGTTAAAAAGGGAGGGAGGGAAGGAGGGAGGGAGGTCTCCACAGAATTCCCTAATGCCACAAAGAGCTGATACTTCAAAATACTTTCTCCCAGAGCTCTTGGTTGACTTTAATAGCAACAAAGCAGCTTGCTTAATTCCTAGACATTTCACCTGCAGGCAGTTTTTTGAGAGCATTACCAAATACCCAACTGCACTCAACAGATCCAGCCTAGCATGTGTCACAAGTGTGATTCTAAATACCCTCAGTTCTTTGTTCTAACCCTGTCCATCCCATTGATTCTAAATACCCTCAGTTCTTTGTTTTAACCCTATCCATCCCATTCTCTCTCTGACTTCACAGCTGGAGTTCTAGGCGTGCTATTGCTACGTGTGTATAGGGATGTAGATCAAATACACACATTTAATGAGCAGTTTGAACTCCATGAATTTGCCCACTCAGAGCAAAGGCCACCATGAGTATTTTGCAGGTGGGCAGTTAGTGAATCTTGGCTGTGTGACACCTACACAGCACAACTCATTGCTTGAGGAGTAGCCTGCATTTAAAACAGGAGCACGCGGAGGCCAGCAAACTACCAAAGAGCATCTCTGCTTCTACCCTTGGGGGTATAACCTTTCACCAAGCACCTCAAACCCAAGCCAACAGACACAAGAATGAGTATGGTGGGACACCTCCTCCTTACCTGTAAGCTTCATCCAAGGACATGTCCATTCTCTTCATGATGTAGGCGATGGCGATGGTGGCGGAGCGGGATATCCCAGCCAGGCAGTGCACCAGCACACACCCATTGGAGGCTTTGGCTTTCTCTGTGGAGCAAAGAAATGGGCAAGTGTTAAACCCAGCAGCATCAGACCACCATGAGAAGTTTGCAAGGAAAGGGACGTTATTTAGAACGGTTCCAAACTTCCCAATTAGCTGCTAATTGCAAATCTTGGGGAAGCTTTAAACAAAAATAAGTTCTTTTCTCTAGCACTGTATAGCATTGAGTGTAGGAAAAGTGTGTGGCTACACAGGAAACATACTGCACTTACAGCATACCACGTTTTAATGTGCACATAAACAACCCTATTTCTGTGTCTGGGAAAGGTGATTGTTTCTAATTTTGTACGGGAGTAAAAAGCAAGCATTCATGATGGAGCAATCTGGCCAGTTCAGATTTGGCTAGCTCACTTCTCAAAGCTAAAGACAGGATCCCTACGTCCAATTTCCTAATTCTTTCTCTGGAGACATGGATCAGGCATCTACCAGGTTGCCAGAAACCAGAGTTGTGCTCTTAAAAAGTGTCTTTGTTCCATAAGTGCTGGAACGTGCAGTGGCAGAATCCCCTACGTTACTTTGCTTCTGCTCTTATAAGTGATGTGATCAGGTACACAGATCCTTGGGGTATTCTCATACCACCCAGAAGGCATTCAGGTCTCCTCCAGCCAAAACAGACACAGAAAGGGATCCAGAAACTGTTTTAGAGAATTTAAATTTCTTCTCACCTATAAAATCGACTGATTTATCCAACCAAGGCAGAATTTTCTCACAAAAGCTGTCGTTCACAGGCACTCTCAGGAAATGGGATTCTGGAATAAAATCTGGCTTTGGGCAAGTATTGCTGGCGTTCAGGACGTAGCCAATGTCATTCTGCTGCATCAGCTCCTAGGAAAGGGAGAAAGATTTAAGCCTAGAGAAGTCAAATGGTACCTTTGGCACATTACAAAACTGAAAATCAAGCTGAACTTTGTGTTGGAATTGCTCTAGCTTGTGAAAAAGAAAACTCCTCAGCCTTTAACTCTTCAGGCAACTTTTAATGAGACATCCAGTGTGTCCAAATAATATATGGACTGTGAAGGCCATAAAAACAGAATTAATGAAGAAGAGGAATAATGGCACTTTACCTTCTGCTACTATGAAGCATCACATCCAAGAGAATGAATTTTTTGCTACTTTGGCTTAAATTTTCACTGTGCAAACTGACAAGATAACCAAGCAATTCCCACATGAAGCTTGCTCACCCAAATATCTGTTTTCTGGATCACATAACTAAGACTGAGGCTGCCCCATCACAGATACTGGTGAGAAATACTACGTTAAACTGATGCCTGTTATAGTCACCTCTTAAAAGCATCCAGGACCTCCTTGTTTCAAAGGCAATGTGCAAAGCTCACTCAAAGCCTTGAGAGCAGGAGCTGAAGACTTTGAATTAGGCCATTTTTGTACACCACTAACTGCAGTTTTAGATGAGATCTGCTTTGTGGTTTACAATCTAGCTGCTCGTATTTCAGTTTTCAGTCTTTACTCCTCTTGCATCTCAGAGACTGTCACAGCTACAAGCAAAGAGATTCAACGTTCAAGAGTCAGCTGGGCTTCTTAAATAAGTACATTTTCATGACTGTAAATTAAAAAAGACTCCTCTTTTCTACACCTTGCCATACTCTTTGTATTTAGAGTCGTGATACAGTAGGTACCTTACTGCCAAACATGAAACAAATACTAGAGAACTAGAGATGGCTCTACCAAAACCATCCAGTCTGCTGCAGGTAAGCCTCTTGTCACAGAAAAAACAGTTTGATCAGGTTTACTCCAGCCTGCCCAACGACTCTCCTGGTCTAGATATGATTAGGTAGCAAGTTTCATGCCATACTATGCTTGCACAGTAGTTACACTGAACACAAACACTGGGGAGCTTTTGGCCACATTTCGATGGAAACTAATGCCTGAAACAAAACTGAAACATAAAAAAAAGAAACCAAAACCAACTGATTTTTAATAATTTCCTTTCTGTATAATTGCTATAAAAGTGAAAAGCTGTATCAGTCTACAGGACCATTACCAAGAATGAATTCTTACACTGCAGATTTCACCTGAAGATTCACCAGTAGGAAAATACAAGTCCTGAACCCAAATGATGGCTTCTTCCCCATATGGATTTTTTCTGCACCCACACAGATGTTCTTGTGAGGAGAGACAGGGACATGGCTCTTCAGCTGGAGATACAGAACTCTCCCTTGTTCAGATCAGAGCAGCCTAAACCAGATGTGACATGGAGTGGAGGGGTACCCCACACCTCAGCACCTTATCACTTCTTACCTTGCTCGCTTCCTACATCACGTGCCCAGCAGAGCTCAGCTTCTCCTCTGTGCCAGTAAATCCCAGTATGCCACTGATTTCCCACTCTCCTTCCTTCCCAGCTCCCCACTCAACCAGCAAGCCCCCTTCAGCCCTGCGTGCCTTTCAGAGCCAACTCTGTTGCACCTTCCTTCCCTTTATTTAGCTCTTATACCCAAGACAGACCTACAAGTTTAAAAGCAGGAGTGTTGGAAGTAGGGGAATACTTGGGATTGTCCAGAGAGGGAAGGAGTTGGGAATGGGGTTTGTGGCACAGGTGACCAGCTACCACTAGAGCTCTCAAGTGTGCAATGGAGACCTCTGGTCCCCAGCACCTTTGCCTTGCTGCCTCAGGCTACACAGCTTTCTCCTTCTGGAATCCCAAGCTCTTCAATATCAGCTTCTGCAAGACACCTGCTCGAGATCACTGTGTGGAAATACTGCCCCCAGACCAGCTCACCTGTGGCAGCCACCTAAAGCTGACTGGAGACAAACTGAAATAGCAGGTACAACACTAGATGCAAGGTCATGAACTTTACCAGGCATGAAAGGAGGTGATGGGGAGATCTCTGACAGATGGACAGCCGTGACACATGCTTGTTTGTTCACAATGCTGGCAGGCTGATGGATTTAGAAGAAGAGAAAACTTTTTTTTTTAAAAAAGCCTAAGTGCTGTTGGGCTGCACAGTCCAACCATCCCAATTCCACACAGTCCAGCCATCCCAATTCCACACAGTCCAGCCATCCCAATTCCACAGTCATGCAAGGTTTCTGATGTGGAATTGATTATTCAAATAAGAACGAGAAGGCTGCGGACGCCCAGCCTGAAATCTCAGAGCCAAAAAAACACCCAAAAATGTGTTAGTGCTTGTCTTTGAGACTTAAGAAAAAAAAGCTATGCTTCCTTCTGTTCTAAGGTATCAATCATCCCCTGTGCAACACGCTCCAATATAATAACCATAACAGTGCCTTCATTGTAAGGCTCCCAAGAGGAAGAAGTGAATTACGACAGGAGGAAGACCCAGAAATCCTAACACTAACAACTCTCTCAGAAGAAGGTAAATGCTCTTTTGTCAGCTTATTTACATTTTATGACTTGTTTAATCTGAAAATTAATGGCACCCTAAAATGCTATTTTGTTCCAGGAAATAAAACCCAGGCTTGGAAGAAAAGAAAGAGCATAGTTACGTAAGCCCCAAAGCATAAACAAAGTTTTAGGGTTTAAATGCTGGTACACAAAGATGAGATGAGAGGAGGAGGCTCGTTCAGGCTCGTAACAACAGAGATATTTTTCTGTTACAGTAACTTGCAGAAGGGACTCTGTCACTCTGGTGTAGGTTAGAATCTACGTTGCCTCTGCTTCACAAAGAGTGGAGGCTCGTTCAGGCTCGTAACAACAGACTTTTTTCTGTTACACTAACCTGCAGAAGGGACTCTGTCACTCTGGTATAGGTTAGAATCTATGTTGCCTCTGCTTCACAAAGAGTTACTAAGATCTGTAAAACTAAGTACCCCCTTGCAATGCCACCAGTATATGGCACTGAGACCCAAAGACTGAAACAAACTTTTCTGTTAGAGAAGACCTTTGAGGAGGTTTTTAGTGTAAGACTGAAACAAACTTTTCTGTTAGAGCTAAGACCTTTTAGGAGTATTTTTAGTGTTGTTTCAACATTGCAAAAAAGGTATTATGAATACTTTCAAAATTAAACATTTAGGAAAGAAGTCTGTGAAGTAAAAGTATAAACAAATCTCCTGAGAAGAATCTGAAGTAATGATTAATTTTTCTAAAGGACACAACCCAAGCATTTGTGTTTGCAGATCTTTCATAAACAAAGTGTTATCAGCTTTGTTTATTAATGGCAAATAGTATTCTTAAAAGGTCACGAGCACAGACTGCCCTGCAGCAAGACAAGCATCTCCCTCCCTGTGCACTCAGAGATAAGCTTATAAAGATCCTGAAAAAAAAAGATCACCTTGATAAAACATTTCTGAAAACTCACATCTCTGAACAGCTTGAGCAGTAGTGCAGACTAGAAGTTGTTCTTTTCACAGATTTTTTGAGACTTTTTAATTTTAGAGAAATCAATCTCTGGTCAATGGAAGGAATCATGGGAACTAGAGAATATTTGAAGGCAAAAATAAGTTCAGTATATACAACTACATCTTAAGAGCTTGGGGAATATTCCCAGAATTTTTCAGAAAATTACTTTTACAAAATCTGGACTTGAATTAAAGAAAAAAAAGTATTCTGATCTTAATGGAAAGCTGACTTGTCTCCAGTAGACAGGAAGGCCATTAAACCAAAGCATGCAAACTGAACTTACCAGCTCCTGAACTGTCCTGACACAGACAAGACTTTGTTCCTTATCCCTGGTTTTTGTTTCTTGCCCTCCCCTTCTGAGCACTCTTCACATCCCAGCTTTGTTACCACGTAGGGGTATTTCTGGGCGCTTGATGTAGGAAGAGCCATCCCCCTTGCTCTCCCCAGTGCCCCTGCACAGGATTCAGGCTTCCCCAAAACCAAAGCATGTTGAAAGCAGAGCAGCAGTCATCTGCAGTTCATGTTCTAACGTCCTGATGTCTGGCTACCACTAACTTTTAGCTGAATCAAGAAACTAATTAAAGCTAGGAAATGGACTAGCTGGGGAAACGTTGAGTGGGTTCCAAGAGGCAGAAATCTTAATCTGCTCCCACAGCTTCTTTAGGTGAATGAAGGTACCAATATTAAAGATGGAAGCCAAGGAGGTAAGTTAAGCAACCAGCACTAAGGTCTACTTCAGTGCAGTGAACAAACAAGAAGCTCAGAAGAAAGCCCTGCCTGTGTGTGCTCAAAGGAAGAGGGAAAAGGTCCAAATAACAAGTGGATCTGAAATCCTAAGGTGTGTATTTATCCTAAAATGGGTAAGAAATCTAAGAGGTCTTCTAGTCATTAGTGGAAGAACTTCCAAAAGAGTGACTGTCAAGGATGCCACACCAGGTGGTAAGAACTTTCTGAACACCCTGTGGATTGTATGCTGTTGGTCTTGTGGGTCTTCATACAAAATGGGGAACACAGTAATCCCTGACTGTAACTCCCTGAAGTATGTGAGGAAGTACAAATCTGGCCAGCTCCTGGGGGTCTTACACTAGTTCTCAAGTACCTGGAGCTGCAGGGCTCCCTGCAACACATGCTGAAATATTTGTCAGGATGGCAGTTTGATAGGCCACCGAGCCACCACCAGGTCTAAACTCTTCCTGCAGATGGCTCAGCCACACTCAGAGCTCACCAGCAGCAGTTGGGACTTGAGCCTCCTCCGGCCCTATCACAAGTCCCTGACCACTGGTGCCACTTGGATTCCTCTGCTGGTGAGGCACACGTACCGTGCCTGTGCTCAGCTCCTGTTCACAGGCATCAATGACTGCAAGGAAAGGGAGCAGCCTCTTCCATCCCTCTGACATTGTTCAACACTTGAGAGCCAGGGCACTGGAGTTCCAGCTACACCCCAAGTGTGGAGATGTTGTTCTCCTGGAGAACAAGTTGCCCCCTCACTCCCACTGTGACCTAGCACAGCACTTGCCATTCACACATTGCAACCAGCAGCATAAAAGCATCTTTCTACTACTCTACCACTGAAAGCAAGGAATTTTTTTTTATTTTTTTTTAAAAATGACTTAGTTCCTGCTCTCTTTTGTCAGGGGACCACAAATTACTTTTGTGGTAGGAAAAATAATAAGCTGCTTTGACATCCATTGTAAGTGAATCGAGTTTGAATTGCTGACTTGCTGCTGGGCACTAGATGTGGAAGATTTTAAAGGACAAAGTAAATACAATGACTGCTGACTGCCCTGCATATAAAAGACCTTTCTGTGTGCTCTGCTAAAGGAAAATTGCCTTCTACACCATTGCCTGTGTATCAAAAATCCCCTTAAAATAATGATGAAGCAGCTAAAAATAGCCTATGAAGGGCCAGACTGGGGTGGAGTGAAAGTAGAAGAAAACAGTGAAAAATATGATAATGGCCAACAATGAATTTGATATAATTATAGACTATTGGGATAGCTCCTGCCTTAAACTTTATATGTGGATAAAAAAAACATCCAGATAAGCCTTGCACCTAATTCAAACACTATGCTAGGGTGAAGCATCCCTCCTCTCTCCCCCATCCATGCATTTAATGCCAGCTTATGATGCCTGATGGAGATTCAACTACTCCACAGGCCTCCTGCATTATCTGCCAGTCAAGAGGCCACATGCAGCAGAAGTAATAAAAATTCCCTTGTGAAAGGAACCAAGGTGCAGACTGTAAGCAATGTGTGTTGGTCTCCTTACAGAAACAAACATCTGTGCATGGACCTGCAGCCATCTGAGATGAGTTCTTTTAGACACCTGGTGGTCTAGCACCCTGCAAGTACCATATTTTATGACTTTGACTGTTTTAAGTATAGCAAAATATCCTGGGCTATTCTTTAGGAACAGAACTTGTTAAATGCAAACATATTTAGGAACAGCAGAAGTTTCTCAGTGCAGTGGTACCATAAAAGCTCATCTTAAATGACCCCACTGATTGTCCAGGTCTGAGTATTTTACTAGGTGTACAAAGATTTGTTTGCAGGAGTCCCTCATTATACAATTCATGGCATTTCAGTGCTGTTTTGAAGGAAATACTACAAACCAGACAATCTTCCTTTGTCCTACAGTAACTATTAATGTAATTGTGTTAACATCTAAGAGCTGCCAAAACAAACCAGTCAGAGCTACACAGGGAAGTGCCTGACCTGCAGAAATGGTGGATTTGACAGTTGCCATTGGTTGGTGGGTTACTGGGGAAGGTACCTATGACCTCCTCCAAGATGAAGGAGGAAGGACACCAAGTTTCCTATTACATGACACATGGATTAATTACATGGTCTGTGTCATTAGTTCCCAGAGAGCTTTCCATGCCTTATGCACAGCTGTTACCTGTATCTGCTTGAGCTGTTTCACAGCTGTAATGATGCAGCTTGGCAGGAGCACCAGTGAAGGCACGTGGAGATCACAGACCCATCCAAGTCAACAACGTGACACCCACAACGCTCACCTTGTTGAGGACATCCCGCTGACACCCAAGGTAGAGATGAGGCAGGATTCTGGTTGGGCCAATGTTGGAGACAGGTAGGCAGGGTTGAGAAATGCAAGTGGGGATGAGGGTGGATTTTCCTTCACAGAGACCGGGGAAGGAGCTGGAGAACTCGGCGAATCCACCTGTGAGAAGAACAGCATGTACTTAACCCAATGCACGCTGCAGGGTTCTCAGAAAGCAGCACTTGTTGCAGGAGATGGGGAGGCAGTAAGGGGCAGCTGCCAAGCCTCAGAGGAACCACACGTGTGCCCCTTCCAGAGGTACCATGACTGTGCAGAACCATCCACCAGCAGGCAGGGCCTGGATGTTTATTCCCACTCTGACTGCAACGTTTATTTCTCTCGCTCTCCGTTCGTCACAAGTTTTTGATGCTTCTTCCCATTCTTAATTACATGTGGAAATAAGACTTTTAAAACCACCACAACAAAAACATACACACCTTTTCTTTTCTGTCCCAGCAAGCTGTTTGCCAAAAACCTCCCTCTCTTTATTAAATCTATAATTAGACTTCATTAAGAAAAAGTCACATTTACTCCATCTGGTAAAAGCTTCAATATCCTAAGGCTTCTCCATTTGAAGTGGGGAAGGTGAGGCAGAATGGGGACTACAGGAAGAGACTTCACCCAGGCAGGGACTCCCCTACCAAACCACCACAAGTCTCTACTCTCTACTGCCAGCTGGTTCTTCATCTGCACCAGTTATTAGGCCCTATCCATATTATAGCTCCAAAACATTTTCATTACTGTTTTCTACCGCTGCATGAAAGCACTCAGGACAACTAGAGTGGAATCCCATTTAAATCCACCCAAAATCCAAGTGGCCATCAAAAAATGCTCCTTGCCTGTTTCACCATCTGCATGGCACAGCTGCTGTGGAACAGGAAGGAAATAAAAGGTGAGGCTGAGATTCCTCTAGACACCAGGACACGATGCATCTAAACTCTGTTTCTTTCTCTTGCTTGGCCAGCTCCTGGCTTCCCTCCCATCACAAGGGCTGTGCTGTGAATCTGGGCCACCAGCTCTGCTCCAACTCGCCCTCACCCACAATGAGAAAACAAAACTGAGGAAACCTCCAGCAACACACTTACACTGTGGACAAAAGTCACAAAAGCTAGCTAGTTTTTTCCACGCCTAGCTAAACCCCAGGCTCAGCTCATTCTCATACTTCACCTCTGCAAACAAGAACTGGAGGCAGCTGCTTGAATCACTGTGTTACAGCCTTTTCTCAACTGTTTTCACCATTTCACAGCCAGCAAGGATGAGAGTTGCAAACCACAGTGAAAGTCCCTGGCTATTTCCTCATATTAAAGCACAGAGAAAGTGGAATTTTAACTGAAGGAAGAGTAATTATAACCTGTTCAGAACAAGGCTCCTTTTTGTCATCAAGAAAGTGAAGTGTTAACATGCTAAATCTGCCAAATTGCTGTGTTCACTATTACTGCAGTCTGAAGACATGAATTTAAATTATTCAGGAATAAGATAACATACTGTTTTGTCAAGGCTTGAAGTAGCATTGCCTGGATTATTCATATTCTCTGGAGTTTAAAATCTGTACCTTTAGTAAACGTAGAAAAAAACCCCAAGATAATAGCCATGTAACAGACCCTTTCATTTGATAAACAATAAAAAAAGCCAGCAAATGGATTTCAAAACAACACTTATGAACAGCAATTCCTCTTCAGAAAAGAAGAATTATTCCACAGAGCATAATGTTCTCCCCACATCTATAGGGAGCAATCTTTTAATTTATAAACATTATATTCCTCTCAGATTAAATTTAATGTAAGATACGATGCCCAGAAGTTCCTTGAGAAGTTGAGGGAAGAAGGGGAAATCAAATATCAGGTTTTGTTTGCTTAGTCTGTTTCTTGGGAAGCTTGCTGGCAGCTTCCTGGATCCTCTCTCTGACAGAGCTGGAAATAAGAGAAGTGACTCTTCTTCCTTACAAAGAAGCAGCACAACCAAAGAAAAGATTTTAGATCTATGGTTTTTTTTCCCCTTTTTGTTAAAAGACTACACAGGCAAACTTCAACAACTACAAAAAAGAATTTGCCCAACTACCTACAGATTGTTCTCACTTCTGCATGAACACTGCAACAAGAAAGTATGCAAAAAGAAAAG